AATGATCAAATTGCAAACAATTATTCACTTGCTATATAATTAATAATGTCAAACTAAGAATAATAATCCACACGCTATATGATTAATAATTACACAAAAAGTGACGATCTCTCACCAACTAAAATTCAAGTAGTTTAATGTACTGCATAATTAGTTTCAAAGTTTAATTATATTATTATTATTTAAATAGAACTCTATTTACAATTGTTATCCGCTTACGTACATGTAACATCACATACAAATATATATAAGCTAAGAAATTATAATAATTTCTATAACACATTTATTTCCTTCTACAAGTATGTGCCTTTAGATTTGATTAGATTATTTTAAAGGAATTAATTATATTGTATGTTTGACTTGTTTTTTAGATCAAGAAATTGTAATAACTTTCATAGCAATTTCACCTTCTTCAACAAGTATGTGCATTTGTTATTTTCCTCCTATTAGATTAGATTAGATTGTTTAAAAATTAAGAATTATGAAATTACAATAACTTTCACATTACTTTCATCTATTTTCTTCTTATTAGATTATTTTGAAGTAATTAACTATACTGTATGTTTGATTTTTTTCGGATCACAAAGTTTAATTATACTATTATTATTTAAATAATTGTTGTTTGTATAAAAGTCAAAGAGAATCTCACAGATTTCTTAGATCTCATTGCCAATTATAATACTTATATACGGATTTTGATTAAAATAAATTTCATGTATGGAGTTAACTTATTTGATCCTACGTTAATCGGATGAGATAATTTAACATTTGTTCTCTACACCCAAATTCTTTCACAAAACCAAGAGATTTTTAAAATTAATCTTGAGGTTGCTTGCATTGAAAAAGTTATGTTATAGGGCTCATACAGTTTGTTTTATAGTTTAATATTGTCAACATATTTTGTTTCTTATGCATACCAATTATGAGTAATAATACAATTTAATTGATCCAATTATATCCTATTATTTTTCTGGACTCTTATCTTATCTTTTGCTTTTTATTATGTACAAACCTAGCGATTCTTATTGAATTCCTTCTTTTTCCTTTTTTGCCTCTTGACATTATCTTTTGTTCTTCATTATGTACAAACTCATTTCATGGAATAGAGTTATAGTTTTTGAGCAGGGAGTAGAAGACAAATAGGTTGATTTTGCTGTTGGCCTCTATTATTTGAAGAGATTAATTTTAAGAAATCCAACTCCAACATGATAGCACAATTGACTTAGATGATGAAGACGCTACATTAGAATTGCCCAGTAAAAATATAAAGGTGGACAAAGATTGATCTTGACTCAATCAAAATATAACAAAAAGAATAAATTATAATATCTTTTCCAACATTTTACATTATAACTTAATTTTTTGAGCAAAATAAGAAATTTTTAGAATTAATTTTCATGCAAAAATTTTAAGATTTCTGTATGCTTATGTGATTGTTTTTATCACAAAAAATTGTATTATAGTTACCGTTAATCTTTAGTTTTTATCTTTTTATTATTTTGAGTCTATCAAATAATGTAGGCTAAGATCTCATATATGTATCATGCTTGTCGTACTTCTTTTTTTATTTTTGCTTTTGAGATTGTTTATAATAAATCTTGAGCTTATAATGTTGAAAAATGTTGTGGAATTCTATTTTTAATGCAATAAGAAATGTTATTTCTTTATTGCTAGAACTATAGTTCATAATGATATTGTTATTCATCCTTAACTCCATACTATAACTTGGGATTAGTAGAGTTTAGAATATGACATGTAGTATAAATTTAACCTATTTTTTTACTATTCTGCTTTAAGATATTATTATATCAACTAATATCTTTTTCTTAGGAAATCAACTATGATATCCAAGTTAAGTATATTGATTCCAGTTTAACACAAAAATCCATTAGATCGATTTTTTATAATGTTTAAATAAAAATTATAGAAAATCTAATAATCAAAAAGAATTTGACTTATGTATAGTAATAAAATAAATTACTTAATTAATTAATTAATTTTAAATTTAACCACGTGCATTACACGTGCATAAA